AAGGGTGTCAAATTCATTTCATAAGCAGTGGTTTGTTGACAGTTACTACTTTAAGGCACTAGACTGCAACTAACCATTATATTTGCTGTTTGGTAGACACACTGGTGCTGGCAAATACTAACCTGAAGATGGTTGTGTTGATCAAGCTGGTTTTATTGTTGTTTGAATCATGCATAGAGGACATGTCCAGTGCTGGCCAGCAGATTAGGATTCACAGAAACCATCTAGGTCAGAAATCCATCCCTGGGACTTGGGCCTAACCTGGCCAGATATGGAAATACCATACTTACTCTGTACCTATTTTCTGCAAGTTAAGAAACAAACCACTAAGTACAGCCTGTCGCCTTTACTAAAAAGGCACTTGATCTCCTGGCTTTAATTCAATTAATGCAGTCAGCCATGTTTTTACTATTCGGGGACCTGATCTCTTTGTGTTTATGTATTTAAACACAGTCCCACTTACAGCACTCTTTCAAAGTACAGACACCGATTTCACATTTTGCTGGGTGCTGTTTTCTCCTTTTCCCCCCCCTCTGCAACTGCAGTCATAATAGTCTATGGTTTGACGAAAACACAGGATTATAATCCATCACAATTTAAACCCAAAAATCAAACAGAAATCATGGAGTTATCCAGTCTCTTAAAATATCAGAAAAATGAAAACATTTTTCAATATAATAAGACACACAATTCCTTACAACTAAAGGCATATTTTTGTAGAGTTGCATTGTCTACATTAAAGCCAATTTTGTATAATTCATTAAGTTTGGGTATTTCCCTAACTCTTTACTAATTGTCTACACTTCATATGCACATGCAAATTAAACAGGTATATTGCTATTTAGGTTTCATGCACATTCCATATACTAGATCACTAGCCTTATGATCAAATACGTGCATTTACCGATACCCTACAACTATATATTGGAGTAGAGAGACCAAAATACAGTGAATTACAGAATCCACTGCTTTATGGTAAGATCTACAAAGCAAGTTAGGTGTAGCTTTTGGGGAGGCTACTATATTCACTACGACACTGTCAGAACGACTTCTGTTAGGCGTTTGTTTGATGGTGTTCACATGGATTAGCTGCTCATTGTTTTCTAGTTCTGGAAGATAATCAGGAAGTTTTGTATTCAAAATCTGTTGAAAGATGGTAGTGTTTGAATGCCAACATGAAGTTCACCCACAGTAAGTAAAAGTTGTATTCTTTGTTGCTTAAGATGAATGAAGTACATGTAGTAAGTGTGTAAGTGATGTAAACTACATTTTTAAAAGAATACCTGGCCCAGCATGCAATGGGTACTTGGCAGCTACATTTCAAAGTTATTGTTCGTATATTCTTCGTAGCATCACATGCATGTCAGATCAGATGTAAGAAAATGACAACATTATCTAGGATTGAAGAAAAAGTTGGATTTATGTAGAATGAAGGTTGTTCTGACAGTCACTTGTGTTTCCAAAACCCAAACCCCCAAACAACCAACCAACCCTCTCTCTCAACCATAGGAAGGAAGTTATTGAAACATATAACACTTTTCCCTTCGCATATGCAACATAAACCTTTTATCCTTCAAATGTTCCTCAACAAACATCAGCCTATTAGCTTCATTCAGAAACCAACAGGCTATCTAGTTTTCAAGCCAACTATATAGCAAAAGTGTACTGAGAATCCACTGTGCTGACATTCATGTCTCAGAATTAAAATACAGAACAGCAGCTACAGTTAAGTTTGCATATCTGAATTCAAAACTAATGGGGATAATTTTATTAATTGTAAAATAGAACAATTTGGGATAAATATTAAGAGACTATGTGAACAGAGAAAAGGAAAGCTTCCTGACACTTTGAATAAGGATTTTGAAGTGTTTTGGGGAGATGTGTATGTGTGAATTAATGCCAGCCTCAGCTGGCAATTCTGGAAGACAGACATGTTTTATTTTCATGATACATTTCTTATGTGAGAACAACTGGTGTCATACATGTGTCTCATAGTGTTAAGTGGATTTCCCTTCTCATAACACTTGTAGCACAAACCTTATGTAACCTACCATCACCGTGACATGGGATCACACATGAGAGATCAGCCACTGGAGCCATTAGCAACTGCTACATCAGGAGCTTACATTAAATCACCTCTTGTTCCAAATTCAACAGACCAAATCATTTCTGCCTAGACTGTCTCATATTCACAAATACAGACTTAGGAGAATATCAAAATGTAGGTTCTGTTAAAAAAACACCACCGCCACACACAGAATTCAGCTTTATGAAATGAGTGAAAACAGTAAAATCAGATCTCCCTGAAGGGCCTGTATCCATTATTGCAAGAACAACTCCTGAGACTGGCAACAACAGAAACACGAGCCAAACCCAACTGGTTTAGTTTCACTGCCCAAACTGAAGTGCAAAAATAAGTTAATTAAAAAGTTCTTCACTCAAGGTGCTGTTAATAGAGAATCTTCTAGAATGAAGTTTAACTTAAGCATTCCTTTGGAAAGGCCAGAACTTTTTAGCTAAAAAGAATTTGCATGTAGGACCCCAATTTATCAGGTTACTTCTGCTATATTACAGGCAGGCTCCAAACGCTGCAATGGTTAGAAAATACCTCATTATAAGAAACTACAGCATAGCATTAGTATTATTCAGCACAGATCTGTGGGGAAGGTACAGTGCATCCAGATGTTGCTGTTTAGGCTTTTTGGTTTCATCAAGTTCATTTTATATGCAACCATTAGGCATGTTAAAAGCTAAAATTTTGTTCCGCTAAAACTTCGATTGCATTTTTGCCCACTCTTGATTTGTCCATTAGTAGCAGCAGCAGCAGTTTTACAGTTGTACTCTAGGTGTGCTATTTGCCAAGACTATGAGAAACTTTGGAAAGGCTCCGTTGTTTTCTGACGTCTCTGAACAATAACAGCGTTTTGCAAGTTAGCTTCTTCCAAAGTGAGGGTTTCATCCTTTAGCTCTAAGAAAGGTAGAGATGTGGTTAAGGTGAATGGAACGCTTCCCTCCACTCCTTGATACTGCATGATGAAGTCTCTGACATGGCTTATTCTGAGAAGAAAAAAGAAAATGCCATCAGTAAAAAGCTCCTGTGTGCTGAAGTCAATAGAACAAAGCAGTGCACAAGTCCTGTGAACAAATAAAATATGCACAGCAGACTCTGTAACAGTCTCCACAGTGCAACCCTTTCCTAACTAGGGGAGCTCACTTTCATGTGAGGAATTTCCCCATACAGTCTCTCCTTTCCTGTCATAATCTGGAACAAAGCCCCAGACATGAAGATGGGCAGAGACAAACCCCCAAAGCTAAACCCCACACACCACGCTCTGTATTCACTGATGATTTGGGGAATCTCTGAACCTATGAGTTTTAATGGATATTACAATTTACTTATGAAAACTGCTTATTACAAGATGTCTTTGTGCAAGTGTGGAATCCAGCACAGGCTGGCACAGCTGCATTACACCTCTGCCAGCTAATAGACAATAGCAACCTGCTACAGCTCAACTGCCTATTTAGGATAAAGCACCTTGGGACAATGAAAGGACATCTGGAGTTGAAAGTTACCAAACAGAGACTTCAAAGTGTTTGCTAACCTTTAAAAAGGGCTCACTGAGGGGAAAAACTCTGAAAAAGACAGAAGAAGCTCCAGGCAGGTACATAAACTGAGCATACTTTACAAGTTGAGCAGGGAGCCTGGCACAGCTGCGGGGCTGATCACATCCTGAAGGCAGCCAAGCAGGTAGTTCACAGTTTGGACAGACCTGGCTTGCACAGGCATCCCTCAAGAACCAGGTGAACTACAGCAAAGGGCCATATATTCAGGATTACTCTTTTTCAAGCAATTTCTCCCTCGACTAGTCACATACAGCAATGCTGCCGCTTTCAAGACCTTTGTCCAGAGTTTTTCTGCCTGATTAAAGCTACTCTATTTTGCGGCTCCTGAGGATTTAAACCCTAAACCAAAAGGTCATTTCCCTACTGGGATTCTGGCAAAGCATGTGTAGACCAGAAGGAAAAGTCAGTACTGGACCCAGGGGTTCAGCAGCTAGAATAGAGGTTCTCAACTTTATTAAATGTAAGGCACTCCTCAGAAAGGGCCAGCTCTTTGTTTTCATTCGTTTTGTTGCAAAGACCTGGGAAAGACCACAAGTCAGAATGCTTTTGACCATGGATTCCTAGTTTAAATCTGAGTTTAATTTATGACTCATGTAGTTTTTTGCTCACCTGGCAGTACGAATATTGGTATCCCGGTTGGGAGTCATCAGATAGATTATGAGGCCTCAGTCCCCAAAAAGGGGAGTACTACGGACAGAGAGTTTATAAGTTTTGAGCGTGTCCACTCAGGGGTAGCATTTCAACTCGGCTCAGTTTCCAGAGAGACTTAACCCAACTCAACATTTAGCATCCGAGTCTTCTCCCGTTAAGCTGTGAATCAGCCAAGAGGGGGCACTTGCCTGTCTTGGACACTTAGTGACCGATCCGCTAGTTCAACTGCTCTGTTAGTTATGCTATATCAACTCAGCACTACTCTTGTGTTGGTTAGTTTTCTTCTGTTCTGCAAATACAATAACCTCAAATGCTGCCTTCTTTGAGGCTTCGGTTCTATAGCTTGGCAACTTTTCCCTGTGTCAAATTCATATTAGAAACAGCAACTGCGGAATAAACATCCCACTCTTTTTAAGGCAAAACTACTTTATCTGTAACTCAAGCCCAGAAGAACATGTGCTAGAGAGTGTTAACAGTACCTTTCTAGCTCTCTAATCAAAGGCCTTATATGCAGCAATAATGTATTTTTCAAAAGAACGCATGTATTAGATTCACCTTCTAAAAAAAGGGAAAAAACTGTGAAAAGATTTTAATACAAATATGATCAAATTTTGGTCAACTTATTAGTTATTTTAAATTATTTTTCATGACCTCTTTTCACTGCAAGATGCACCCTAACTTTAGCCTTCTTATTTTGTCAGGGGAGAAGGGGTTATACACAGAAAAGCATGGTACTGATCAAGAACAATGTGGAACCTAAAGGCATTCTTCCTTAAAATCCACCTCAATGTTTCTAGACTTTTGTTTTTTTTAAGTTAGAGTGCACTTATATACCATCTCAGAAAAGCTCCACATTGATGGAACACCTGCTGTAAGTATTTTCTGTCAATAAGGTCATATGAATGGGGCTGTTGTTCTGCTCATAACAGCAATTTGAGACACAATATGAGTGCGAACTATTACCATTAGGGGCAAAAGTTTCTAATAATTTAATACACACAGAGTTTGTAGTCGCAATGACATCTCACTAGTACAATGGAATGTGAAAATTAAAAGGAATCTTTTTAGGTTCACAGTATGGCATTGCGTTTCAAAGTTGGATTGCAACTGCCAAGTTTTCTTAAATTGCCATTCTTACAGGACATAAACCCGTATGTAGTGTACTACAGAGAGCAATATGTCTCAGCCTGGTGCTGAAAATAAACCTATGATCATTTAGCTGCTTCAAAAGAAACATGCAGAACAAAATATTAGTTCTATATACTGCACAGTTGCGCTCCTGGGACAGTAAGTTTTAAGTTGGGAAAAAGGCACTGAATGTTGCAGGGCTACAACCTAACACCTCTTGAAGATCCCACTTAGGATCAGGGAATGATAGACAATTAGGGTTGATGGGGACCTCAGAAGGCAAGTTCTTTTAGTCCGGTGGTTTTCAACACATGGTCTGAGGACTGCTGGGGATCTGCAGATAACATCCAGAGGGATCGCGAAAGGTGACTATAAAGATGGTGGCCCTGCCCCAAAGCAAAGTGCTGCTGCTCCATCTCCCCCCATAGCCAGAAGCTGCCCAAGACCCAGCAGCAAGCAGCCCAGCACCAGCAAGGAAAGCGTGGTCAGGCAGCCCTGCCTCATTTTGCTCCCACCACTGCTTCATGCGGGATCCAGAAGCGCAGCAGCAATATCAATCTACAAACTAACATGTGTGCATGTATCAAAGAGTACCTTCCCGTTTGGAAGGAATTTCCGTTGGAAATATTGCCAGTGTTTTGAGGCACTTCTGGAAAGCTTTGTTTGGAATAAGAACTGGACATATTTTTAGTGAAAAGTTAAGTCCTACAAAAGTCATGGGAGGCCACCAGCAAAAGCCTGTCTGGTGGGCCATCCGGATATCTAACTAGCTCAGTTTGTGCCCCAACTTTTCATCTTCACAACACATCTAATGCATGTAAACGTGTGAGGGTCTGACAGGGCAATCTGGGAGAATCCCTGGGTGAATAGCCGCCTGTGCATGGAGGGGACTGTACCTAATAGTTTTCATCAAGAAGCTTCAAATCCGGGTTTTCTCAAGTAAGAGAAAACAACTTTGACACATTTGAAACCCTTGACAGCTTTTTGGCTGAAAATGAGTTGATGCTGGCCAGTGATGTGAAAAGCAAAAGTGTGAAACGCTTGCTGGGGCTTGAATCTCAGTTTCACCAGTACTTTCCTGAAATGGGCCATGAGAATGAGTAGATACGTAACCCCTTTGTAGCAGACTGCAACTCTAACTCTGGTCTAACAGGTAAAGAGGAGGATTAATTACTTGAGTTATCTTGCGACAGGACTGAAACAAATTAAAGCAGGATCCTCTTGCCCAATTCTGGTTGAAAATAAGAAAAAGGAGTACCCTGATGTGACAGATAAGGCCACTGAAGTCTTTACCACCATGCACTTATGTGAAAGTGCGTTTTCAGCCTTAGTATCAAAAAAAACTAGTGTGTGGGCGGAGGCAAGGTGTTGAGCTGGGGCTGCACCGGCCAGCTGGTGGTGGCAGAGCTGGGAGAGGAATGGTGGCAAAATTTGAGGTGGATGCAGCATCCTCCCAGCATTGCTAGCACCTACTCCGAGCCCAGCACCTGCTGAAGAGCCTC